AAAATTGTCATCGTGTCGCGTATCTTCATTCCAATTGATAATCAACGTCTCGTAACTAGTAGTGGGAAAACGTTATACGATGAGATGCCGCTCTTTCAAAAGGAAGACAAATTTCTTATAGTTAGTTTAAGGCTTGGAATCTTAGACGGTAAAAAGTACGTTGAGGCCGCATAAAAAAAATATGGCGAGTCAAAAAAACTACCAATCTCGAGGCTTACGTGATTTGAATTTGAATGGTCGGTGTCTCGAACAATTAATGAAACTAAAAAGTAAGTGAGAGCATTTTCATTCTGTACACTTGCTTAATCGAATCATTCAAACGGGGTGGTTCACAAGCATCTTTCTCAGCATTCTTTAAAAGAAGATTAAAGAAGATTTTCGTAAAGCGCAGACTAAAAAACCCGTTTGAAGAAGGTCTTCGTGAATCACTCACTGAAAACTCTGTTAGGATAATACTAGTTTCTTCGATAAAATGGTCAGCAAGATATTCGTGAACCATCCATTAAAAACCCTTGTTTGAAGAAGGTCCTCATGAACCACTTACTGAAAACTCTGTTTGGACAATCTTAGCTTAGATAAGAATGTTCAGAAAAATATTTGCAAACCACCCACCAAAAACCTCGCTTTCTCGATGAAAATCAAACCATTTGTGAGGACGTAAGAGCACCTGTGAATTTAGGTATGTGACAGCTCATTTACGTATTTCCTTTTATTTATTGATTATCTATTTTTTTTATTTTATGCAAGCAATGAAACAAGACTATCCACATCAATTACAAAGAAGACCGGTGGAACTTCTCTTTCAATGTGGTGGAAGTGAAAAGTTCAGATAACGAAACAAATGATTCCGACTCTGCATCGGACGATGATGTTGAAATGACCGATGACGATGACGAATTAGATATCGTTGCTACAAATATTATCAGTGTTCGTGCAAGATCCAGTGTCGTTAAGCCTATCGGAAGTGCTTATAATAGAAAAACGAGCTCACGACTATTCAAGGATCACAACCACACATGCAGAACCACTTATATAAAGTCTGTCAAAAAGGATGTCGCAGCTAACAAGAGAAAATGAGACTGAATGACTCTTTGATATTCCAAAGTATATGCATAGGTCAAAAAATTTCTTCTATAGCGTGTACAACAATGTTTATCAAAATACACTGCGTTTCTTTTGACTGTTTGTTTATTCAAAAGTAAATCCATATAACATTTCCAAATTTTATAACAAAACACAACTCGAATAATTATACCTATTAGGATAGTTTTTCATTTTGTATCGTTAAATCAATATGGGTCGTAACTATCGAACAAAGATCACGAATTTCTGCCCTTCAAGAAGGATCACTCTTCTGTTATCTGACTTAAAAAAAAATAGAAACTACTGGTTCTGTAAAAGATTTACCAAAATCTGGCCACCCACGATTTTTTACAGGCCGTGATGAACGTAATATTATACGATATATTTAGAGTGGTGAATGTTCTAATGCTGTATCAAATAAAAAAATTACAGACTAATAATAAAATCAATGTAAGCGATAGTACTATAAGAAGAACTTTACGTAGAAATGGTTTTTCTGCTAAAGTTAAACAAAAAAACCATATTTGAAAAAATACATCGAAAATTGCACTTAAAATTCGCTAATAAATACAAGGATTGGATGGTGCATGATTGGAGTCTAAGTTTATGATTATGGGTTAGATGGTCGTGAATATTGTTGAAAACGTAAAAATGAATCACTAGATGATCGTCATGTAAAACCTACGGTCAAATTTGGTAACGGAAGTATATGATCTGGAGTTGCTTTTCTTCCTTCGGCGTTGGTAATATTGTACGCATTTTTGACACCGTGCATAAGGAATTATACTGCGAAATTTTGAATGGTGACTTGTTAGGAACTATCGAGCATTACGAGTTGGTTAAGAATAATATCGTTTTCCAATAGGATAACGATCTGAAGCACATGGTTAATTTAACGGAGCAATAGTTTTACGATAATGATATTGAGGCCACCACAATCTCCCGACCAATGATATGGATATACGTTTGAGAAGGTTAGAAAATCCAGTTCGTACTCAAGATAAGTTATGACTGACATTATAATTAACATCCACATCACATGATGCAAATGATATGTTCAATATATTTTTCAATAACCATCTTTTTACGGTTCATTATAAGAGTTAGCGTAGTAATTAAAAGAGAGAGAAGCATGTACGTGTGTTTTTACGCGCTTTTACATATAAAAATAAATATAAGTTCGCGAAGAAAAATAAAGGAAAGAATAACGCGTTTTTTCTCTTATCTTCTTAGGCGTGAGTATATGTATAATAACTTGAACTGTGTTGTTCTAAAAAAGTTGCATATGTTCACTGTTTTCGTTATTTTAATAACATGCGAACACAGTCTGTACACATATTATCGTTATCAGTTGTAACCAAACAGAAGAACACAGCCATACATATGATATGCAAAAAGGTAAAATGTTATAGTAAAATGCATATCGATATCGTTATGTTATCATTACGTATTGTTATACGTAAATTACATTTTAATGATCAACAAATAACTCTAATGCTATCGCTATAACTAGCGCCGCCAAATCTGGGATTCTCACAAATACGATTACAATAATCATCACCATATCCTCTTCCTCTGTAATCATCAGCGGGACCACCAACGGGATCACCAATGGGTAATGCGTTAGACAAAACGAAGAGACAGATCGCTAGAATTAAAGCGACGACGAGTTTTTTGAATGCCATAATATTTTATTTGAGGTTTGTTAATTAAAAAATGAGCAAGCATGTAAAGGAGCGCTTCCTTTTATAAGAAGCATTTGTTAGATGTGAATTAT